AGGGGCCCGCTGTGGCGCCCTGGCTGCGCTCCCGCCGCCGATGCTCCCTGCCCCCGTCGCGGGCCGCCCGGGACGCGGGTGGTTGCTTGTGGATTGCTTCCCCGTGCCAGCCTGCGACCCGCTTGTCTGTGTCACAGAGGCAGGACCCGCCCGAGCGGCCAAGTGAGCCGTCGCGCAGAGCGGGCGGGATTCAAACCCAGGGCTGGGGGCCCCCCACCCCCTGGCCCCCGCTGGCCGCTTGGCCCGTCCCGCCACTACACTGCCATCGGGCCGAGGTCTGCGCCAAGCCTGGGCCCTGCCACTTACTGGCGTGGGAGCTTGACTTGCCCGTGCCTCGGTTCCCCCATGTGCAAAGCGGGGCCCAAGCTGAGGGCCGGTGTGCGCCCCGCCGCCCGGCCTAGCCGCGGCCGCAGCACGGCTGTGCTGCAGGCTCCTGCGGGGTGCGTGCCCCCCGGCCCACTCGCCTCCCGCTTGCCACTCCGGCAAGCAGCGCCTGGCACCAGCGCTTTGCCTCCAGTCCTCAGCACCTCCCCCTCACACATCTCTGAAGCCCGTGTGCCCCAGGTTGCTAGATCAACGAGGGGGCTTGTCCCCCCCAAAGGGCTTCCCGGTTTTCAAGCACTCTGCCCTGCCTGGGGAGGCCAGGGAGTCACCCCGCCCCTGTGAGGTCCTCTGGCTGCTGTCCACCAGCCCAGCTGGAGAGGCGTCCAGGGGAAGGGCAGCCACAGCCTGGGCAAGAGCCTCCAACGGGGACGGGCGAGGTGTGGGGGACACAGGGAGCTCCAGACCCTCCCTGCTCTGACGGCTGCCCCTCTCTCCTCTTAGCCTGGCTCCAGTGCCCAGACCCAAGCCCCCCAGCCAATGGACACCCCCAGCCCAGACCCGTTGCCTTCGTCTTTGCTCGGGGAGGAAGAAAAACCTCAGGCCTTACCTCCTCCTGTTCCCCGGGGCCGTCGAGGCCGACGTCCCGGGGGGCCCACCTCCTCGAAAAGGACACTCAAGGCCTCCCTCCCTCGCAAGCGGGGGCGGCCCCCCAAGTCAGGGCAGGAGCCCCCGCTGGTGCAGGGGGCGGCAGCCCCGGCCGGCAGCGGCGGTGGCAGTGACCTCCTGTTGATCGATGATCAGGGTGTGCCCTACACAGTCTCTGAGGGGTCAGTGGCAGGAGGGACCGAGGGGTCCGGCCCCAAGAAAGCACCCCACTTCTGCCCCGTGTGCCTGCGGGCCTTCCCCTACCTCTCTGACCTGGAGCGCCACGCCATCTCGCACTCGGAGCTGAAGCCGCACGAGTGCAAGGACTGCGGCAAGACCTTCAAGCGCTCCAGCCACCTGCGGCGCCACTGCAACATCCATGCCGGCCTCCGGCCGTTCCGCTGCCCGCTCTGCCCGCGCCGCTTCCGCGAGGCGGGGGAGCTGGCCCACCACCACCGCGTCCACTCCGGGGAGCGCCCCTACCAGTGCCCCGTCTGCCGGCTGCGCTTCACGGAGGCCAACACGCTCAGGCGCCACGCCAAACGCAAGCACCCCGAGGCCATGGGGGCGCCCCTGTGTCCCCCGGACCCAGGGCCTGAGCCGCCGTGGGACGACGAGGGTGTCCCGGCCACAGCGGGGGCCGAGGAGGGGGAGGGCGAGGAGGTGTAGCGGGGAAACGCCCCCGCCTGAGCCGCAGGCCCGGCGGCCGCTCCCTGGGCCGGACACAGCGCGATCAGCAGGGGCGCGCCTGGGCCCCACGGTCTGCACAACCCGCACAACCCGCGCCGGGGTGGAGGCTGGGGGCGCACAGCCTCGGGGCCTGCCGCCTTCCGCCGCCCTCGCCCAGACCGCCTCGGAGGCAGGGCCCGCGGAAATAAAGCTCTGCCTCCGGCCGCCTGTGTGCTCAGTGCTCACCCCGGGTCGCCGCCTCGGCCACCGGCGCCTCGTTTGCGCGACGGGGGAGAGTGACCGCGGCGGCATTGCGTTCCGCACCGGCCCCAGGCACGCCCTGTGCGTCCACACGGGGGAAACACTGAACGTGTGTGTGTGTGTGTGTGTGTGTGTGTGTGTGGAGGCGGCCGTCCCTTCCCCAGGGCAGCCGATTCCTGGGACCTGCAGCCCCCCTTGGGCGACCTGTACCGAGTGTTGGCAAGGAAAACCGGGTCCAGCGCTGCGCTGGCAGCCGCGGGGCGGGGCGGGGTGGGGCCTTTGGGCCAGCAGGTGCGAGCCGTGGGCGGGGCCGCGAGGCCCCAGGAGGTGCAGGCTCCCGGGGGCGGGGCGGGGCGGGGCTGCGCGGCCGGGCCTCACCGGAAGTGGTAGGTGCCCTCTCGCTGGCCGAAGCCGCTCCCGGGCACCACGCAGATGCCCGTCTCCTCCAGCAGGCGCAGGCAGAAGAACATGTCCGGGGCCAGGCCCAGTTCCTGC